TTTATGTTGTTCATGCTTGTATGAAAGAGAAGAAAAGATGATTGCATGCCACTGAAACACCTATATAACAACCTAACCTGAATATATAATTTCTCTTTGGTCATTAATTTCACCTTGTCTTACATGGCTGCTTGCATATGCTTCAAACACACTATTAATAGTAAAAGACTTACATCTTTATTAAACAGGTAGAAAGCCCCAAGAGTTAAACTAGGTACAAAGGTCCTCTCCCTGTGACATAATTGCCAGATGGTCTGAATTAGGCTCTAAGTCCCTAAGAGATAAAGGAGAGTCAAAGTGAAATTTAAAAGCATTTGAATCTATAAAGTTGCCTATCAAGTTAACTGTTCACTGACCCATTTTTCCATATTTCCAAACTTACTTAAAAATTTTTTAAATAAGAAAAACTTTGGTGAAAAAAAAAATCACAATTAGAAGGAGTAATCCTTGTAATTTCACTTTCCCTAATGGTTTCAGAAATGAAGCCTTCAGTTCCTCCATAGAAACATGTAAGTTTCCTATCCCCGTTGTTCAATTTATTCTCCTTTATAGGGCTAGCATTTCCTATAGCTTATTTAAGAGTCTTTAAAAGGCCAATAGAGTTGTTTTTTAAAAAATAGGGCTAGCTCATTCTTGCACCTTCGTCTTGTACTCAGAGAGTTTCTTCTAGCAAACGCATGGCAAAAGACTTAAGGACAAGATTGAAAAAGTAATTCCCATTCTATGGGTGAATCATCTTTAGGCTAAAGATATGAGGTTCACTCCTATTTGTCATTCTAAAGATCAATTCTTATAAATGAAGCCATCACTGAATGGTATATACTTGCATATTATAAGTAAGTAATTGCATTTGGGTAAATGTGTATTTTTCTACTTATTTTTATAGCTAAAAAGACTTTTCTATATTCTTAAGAACTAATGCATTTCACAAAAGAGTCAATTGTAAAAATTGTGTCTGGTAACTAACTTTCTCTAGTCATAAATTGTTAGAATGTAAATAGACTAGTCTATTTACAATTAGTAAATTTCTAATAATTAGTCAGTGTACTTGCTTTATTTTTGAACTATCAATTTTATTTGAGACAGAGAGAGGGGTGGGTAGATACATAAATATAGCTATGGATGCATGTGTATACGTGTTTTTAATCAGTCCTTCACTAAATAGATTTTTTTAAAGTGGAAGGGAAAACAAACATAGCAAAGACTCTAAAATAACTTATGCTGATGGTCATGAGACACTGAATAATATGGAATGAAGCCAAATTCACTTTGGTTTGTCATGACAAATGGTTTTTCAACTAACAATTTTAATATTCCTAAATAACTGGAAGGAATTCGTTCAGAAAAGGCAAATGATTTTACCTTCTTTAACAGGAATAGCCCATCGAGTATGCCCCAAAGAAAAGCCCTTGTATTGTTCACTGGCAAACTACGCAATACCAGCATGCACATCTATGTACCTATACTGGTATAACATATATGTGATTAGATATTATATTCCTTCTTCTGCTAAGCAATTGGTGATTTTCTATTCTCTGTTGAATAAATCAGGAAACTTAGTGAGTCTCCTGCAGATTTATAGAATCTGAGAAACAAGAAAGCATATCCCTTTTAATAATACAAAGTTCTTACTTTGCAATAAGTAGGCCATAAAAGAAATAAATGATTTCTAAATGAATGGAGTCTTACATAAGAATAAAGTGCTCATAAGTTTTTATTTCCTCTAAACTTCCCTAATAAGGTATAGGCTCAAATGAAAGTCATGGTATTCTTTAATGATATAAATTGTCTACAAAAATGATCCCCCCTGCTGTTCTTTGGAATGGCACTCTTTCGGATGAATTCAGGGAAAGAATAAAGATTATCTGGTCGATGAATTAAATCCACAGGACTGATTTCTTAAGCATGGAGTTTATATGAAAACATAGCCAGGCGGTTGTCTTCTGTAGCCATTTGATACTGCAAACATGTAGCTAAGAGAAAAGGAATCAGCTGGAACATTTTTTTCTCACATGGAAAAAACAGATCCATTACTTGCTATTTAAGATATGTCTGGTGGGCTGTTTTCTTATTTGTCCTCAGTGGCATCAACAAACCAATTTCCTCAGTATGTCACGACTGTCAAAATAAAGAGCGATTCTGAAAGCACGTATTCTGGAGGCATGCCGTTGGGTCACGTGAGGAGACTGAGAAGCCATACTGAGTTTGCCTCTCCACCTTTTCCCCACTTCTCCCGTTCCAAATCATGAGTGCATTTCTTTCTTGTAATGTCTGTGATGGGAAAAGATTGGGTCTTATAAAAAGGAAAAAATATGTGCTTATGATGATTCAGATTTCAGAAAGCAGCCCAAGAGAAAGCAAATTCTCCTGGGACTAACTGGTCTTTCCAGTCTGAAATGTGATTTGAGCAGCTTTGTATCTCTCCCTAAAGCGGTAAACAAATAACTAGGCAAATCCTTCCAGATTCTCAAAGTCACTTTGCCACATGCCAATCCAATGATTATAATTCTAGGTATGTGTTCATCCATCAGTATATAACTATTGCATTATGCTAAATGCAGAAACAAAGTACATTAACAAGCAATCGCTTTTCTCATACCTTCATATTTTAAATCCTCCGAATTAGACCTGATGATTATTGATTATTACTGCTCCAAATGCATTTTAAAGGATTTGCTTATGCTTTTTGCTCAACTTTTCCCATCACCTATCATAATTATGACAATAATTATGTTATAAATTATTATAACATACATACACTTACATATGCATATATATATGTGTATATATATCAATATACTTAGTTTACAGATATGTAATAAAACTGTTCCTTGTTGTTTCTAATCTTTATAATTCACACAATAAGCGTTTCCTAGGTGTCCACTTCAAGGCCCTACCAGGGCAGAGAAACAAGAGTTGCTATGAGCTGCTGGGGGAGATAAGACATAGCCAGAAATAAAGATAACAGAAAGAAGTCTGAACAAATGCTCTGAGAGATGTGTGAACAGAAAGCGAGTTAGAAGGGAAATGGAGCTGCTTCTTTTTAAAAATTTTTTCTTTCTTAAATGTGGCCAAAACGAAATGAGATATCAAGTTGTCAGGTTGGCCATACCAACAATAAAACAAAAATCCAAAAGGAAGATAAAATACAATTTGCTTTTAATTAAAATGAAAATAATTAATGATCCAAACTTAACCCTGTGCATTGAAAATATTTCATATATATAAATATTTTTTATTGATTTTTTTACAGAGAGGAAGAGAGAGGGATAGAGAGCTAGAAACATTGATGAGAGAGAAACATCGATCAGCTGCCTCCTGCAAACCCCCCACTGGGGATGTGCCCGCAACCAATGTACATGCCCTTGACTGGAATCAAACCTGGGACCTTTCAGTCTGCAGGCTGATGCTCTATCCACTGAGCCAAACTGGTTTCAGCTGAAAATATTTCTTATTCAAAGATTTATAGTTTGCCAAAGATCTCATTCTACTTATAACTTCTGCTTAGCAGATGAATAGGAGCTGGTGAGGAAACGAGTAGCAAAAAGTTCAAAAAGTCTTACAAGAAATTCCAGGATTAAATGTGTGCAAGTGTACACATAACACATTGAGGAGTAAATACAAAATGAAGCCAGGCTAAGTGTCTTCATTAAATTCAACACCAAACTATATGAACACATTACATTGCTGGTTACAAATAGAGACTTTTAACTATCATTTGTGTGGATATTTCACGTTTTTTTCTTTATAAGATTCTAATTCTCAGTAGGCATTATTTTAACATATTATATTTGCTACAACCCACATAGATTTCAAGAATAGCAAAACACAGTTTGTGTATGAAAGAGAGAAATAGTAGTGTGTGTGTGTGTGTGTGTGTGTGTGTGTGTGTGAGTAGGCACATGCTGTGTGCATGTTTTGTATTTGGGTAGAAGAGCAAGGGCACAATTGAGGCCACTGTGCCTGAGATGTGCTAGAGCCACATGTGTCAAACACAAGGCCCGCGGGCCAAATCCGTCCCGCCAGGCCTTGCAATGTGGCCCGCACCGCGCTGTCATCACTGCACTCCGCTGCGTTTCCATCACAATGACAGTTTATGACTGTTCAGTAAACCATTCGGTCCGCAATTTAGGCTGGATTTTAGATTTTGGCCCCTTCTCTGATTGAGTTCGACACCCCTATGCTAGACACTGCAATCCGATGGATCACCAAAGGTGTGGACAGCTAAATTCCTGATTAATGTAAGCACATGGGAAAGCCAGTGCTTTCCTTTATGTTAACTATTCATCAAAAGCCTATTCAAAAAGATTCGCAACTGATACTTTGCTCTTTTATGAGCAACAAAAGTCCTCATTTCAATCAGGGTTTATTTTATTTTAAAATCTGAATGCATGTTCTAGAGAAAAAAATGGAAAGGATAAATGAAATTTTATGCCTCCTGCTGTGAGTGCCCTCCAAGATTCTACTATTACACTAAACTCAGATTAGCTGGGTTGGGATCTCTCATAAAACCAAGTAAAGAGAAAATAGAACAAAAAGGAATGGCATCTTAAACCTCGGCTAATTAATGAAATTTGCAATTGACAAACAATTTTTCAACATTATCATCCTTAGGAAATGTGGCTATCAAATCATGGGCTTCAAAGTGTTTTGCTGCCAAATCAGAAAGCTGATTATTCTTTAAATTGTGACTTAGCCTCACCAAGAAGTCATTCTCTTCATATGCGTGGCTATTAAACAAATGAATTTGAGCTGGGTCTTATTATTTAATCAAAATAAGTGAAACACTCAATAATCAAAACGAGTGTCGTACTACAAAAACAAATACAGCTCAGGAAAACCCATTTGTAAATGTCCCAAGTCAGAACTGTAGCCAGGTCTAAGCCCAGCTTTCTACCACACTCTGCAAGGCTATTCTGACCCAGCTGTCCAAAGGCCCTGGATACCTCTATTTTATTTCCCAGTTCATTCACAATCAATATTATAAACACACCACCAACCTTAATTCCAGCCAGCAGTCACAAGATATCTGGGATCAGATCAATAAAGTCTGAAAGATAAACAGAAAGGCATCCCATAAATTTAATCAATCAAATGACTTAGTTTTTTATTTTACTCAGGAAGAAGATAAAATTACTTGGTTTCTTGCACCATAAAATTTACTGACTGACAACACATTTATTTAAAATAAGGGCATGTTATGTAGTTACAAAACTTTAAGCTTAAAATTATTTTCTAGATTTCACTTCAAAACATATATTAAATGTGGTGCCCTGGGGTACTATGGTACTTGGGCCCTATTTTTATTTTCAGCAGTTTTTATTTACAGTAGAACAATTCTCATGCTTATACCCTGAAATGCCAACCAAATTTTTAAAATAAATTCTGTACTCAATGTACTAACATTTGTCTCAAAAGATGATTAAAAAATAATAAAGCTGATGCATTTGGATTCTTAATTGGATTTAACATTCACAGACAGTCTGTAGATTTTTAGACCAGGATCAATAATCTTATACCTAAAGGCAAAAAAAAAAAAAAAAAACAGTCACCAACGACAATTTCAATGGCAACCTATCCGTGGTCCCACTGCTTCTTTATACAAAGCCTTGCCACTACATTATCCTGAGAAGCACGTTGCCAAATGAAAGTAAGGAAGGAGGTAAACTCAGGACAAAAGCAAGCCCCAAAGGCCTGGGCCAAAGGTCAGCCTGTCTTTTGGACAGTTTGTAAGAAATATAACTTTAAAATAACATAGCGTGAGATTCTGGACATCTATGGTTAAATCTCCAATTAAAAAACAAAAAAAAAATCTTAGCTTAAAAAAAGTTAGCTTCTGGACATGTGTTTATGGGGTAACTGGTTGGAAGTTAGAATATGTCCCACTTGACATGTTAGAAATGGGTCATTATTGGACATCTAGGTTAAGCCCAAGAGCTAAATTAAACTATAGTGATAACTACTTCATGAAAAGAATAGCCTAAAGTAATATTCATATATTCCAATGAGATGATAGGTTATTCTCGTGACTGTAGGAATCATTTCACTGTGTATAGGTATATCAAATCATCATGTTGTACACCTTCCATAAAGATATTTCATTTAAAACATAGAGTACTAGTAAACAAAACATGATTAGAAATAAAATTCTTGATTTTTAATCTTAAGGCAGGGGCTGAAGAAAAGTGAACTTTGTCAGAAGAGAATAAATGATATGTGAATAAAATTGTGGAGATTTTTTTAAAAGGATTTGGGGACACTTGGAGGGACTTCCAAGAGTAATGGCTTTAGTATGTCTGCTTCCACTTCAAGCATCTGACTTTATTTTACTTTTTATATAAATATTTTTTGCTATAAAGCCAGCAGTTCCCAAACGGACTGCCACAGTACCCGAAGACACCAGAGTAAATTCAGAGAATGGCGAAATGTTTTCAATATATGAAAAAACACAGCAACATCAGGCACCATACAAATGACTAGCTTGAGGCAGTTCACAGTTTCAATGTTATATTACTGATCATTCCTTTCAACGATACCATTAAGTTTGCAAAATTGTTTTTTTTTTAAATCTATTTTATTGATTTTTTACAGAGAGGAAGGGAGAGAGATAGAGAGTTAGAAACATCGATGAGAGAGAAACATCGACCAGCTGCCTCTTGCACACCCCCTACTGGGGATGTGCCCACAACCAAGGTACATGCCCTTGCCCGGAATCGAACCTGGGACCTTTCAGTCTGCAGACCGACGCTCTACCACAGAGTCATACCAGCTTCGGCTGTTTTTGTTTTTTGTTTTTTGGGTTTTTTTAGATGGGGTTTAGGATATAAAAGCAAACACTGCATAAATAGTGATGGAAAATAAATTTTTTTTAAAGACTTGAAAAAAACAGTACACATGAACTGTAGGGGATGAAACACAAAACAAAAGTAGTGGGCACGCTGCATGTGGAGGTTGAAAAAATAATTTCCCTTCTCTCCTAAATTCTCCTGGCAGGACTAATGCTCAAATTACCACGGGACAGATGATCACGAGAAAATGACCAAATGGACTATTTGTGTACATACAGGGAACAGGGAGCCCGAGGACTCACTGGGCAGGTGAGGCTTGTATGTCATTTTGGACTCAGGAGAGGAAGGTAAGAGTCTGGGACTTCAAAAGGGAAAGTGGGCTGTTCACAGGCAGAGGAGAAAGAGCAAACATGTGAAAAACCAATTCTTGCTGGACCACCAGGACCATGGGTCACGGAGGGAAGACTAACGGACTTCGGTTGGTTCCTTCTTGCGTCCCACATTTAGTTTCTATTGTCCTAAGGTGATAGCGTGCTTCCTTTAGGCAAGTCAAAGGGAGGGCCAAAGGTTCTCTAGTCTTTTGTTTCTTAAAAATAACCAGCCTAGCCGAAACCGGTTTGGCTCAGTGGATAGAGCGTCGGCCTGCGAACTGAAAGGTCCCAGGTTCGATTCCGGTCAAGGGCATGTACCTAGGTTGCGGGCACATTCGCAGTAGGGGATGTGCAAGAGGCAACTGATCGATGGCTCTCTCTCATCGATGTTTCTAACTCTCTATCTCCTCTCTCTTCCACTCTGTGAAAAATCAATAAAATATATTTTAAAAATAAAATAAAATAACCAGCCTAAAAGAATCAATATCTCATAAAGCACATTTTAGGATGGCAAACTGCTCTCCCTCAGTATGCCTGCACCACGTGGATCATCAATCATCGTTCCCTGAGAAAAGCTGGCTCCCCTGTCACTGGAGCCACTGGCAGACCACAGACAGCGGCTTCTGTGTTTGTGTGCGGTTTCAAACCTCCATTCACCATCTGACCACGGCCATTTCTCACTCACAGCCCTATGGCATACTAGATCAGTGTCCTGATATCTTTCATCTTCTTTTAAGGAGATTGGATTGTATCTTTTTTAGTCACTTTCAATGTGTACTTTCATAGCAAAACCAAAATGATTGCTTGGGGAGTTTTTAAAAACTCAGGCTTCATGTTTCATATTGTGATTGGGGAGACATTCCAACTTGTTCCCACCACGGCCCCCAACCTTGTCCCATCTCCAAAACTTCTAGTGTGGCTTTTTTTTTTTTTCAAAATAGCAACATTCAAATGTCAACTTCATTGCAAAGATGAATGTTATTTTGGATACATGAACCTTGCCCTTGAATCCACAGGCCTGGCGAAAGAAGAGCACACGGAAGAGCACCCACAGGCGTTTGTTAAGGGAATGAAGGTGCTTACTATTGTACCTTCCTGGGCTTTGTCAAGTTTCAATGAACAGTTGAACATCAATCTTTTGGGCAGAAATAAGACAAGTCCATCCTTGCCCCACCTCACTTGCATCAAAAATATTTCATGGAAACAAAGTTCTGAGGAAGGAGAGGTGTTCCATTTTGAGCTGATGGACTCACATTCTCTTGGGGGTTGTGTTTGCTTGCTTTTCTCATTTGAAGGGGGCACTTCTATGTGCAGCATCAAAAGCAGCTGCTTTGTAAATTAACTCCCCCTACACACACACACACACACACACACACACACACACACACACACACACACTCTCAACCCAGTTATTAAGCAAATAGGTCCAAAAGAGTGGAGATTTATGTAGCCCTCAGGCTCAGCCCTCCGCGTGAACATCTGCCATTTCAAACACACAGGTTAAGGCTTCTGTGTGGTGTCTTGCTGAACAATGCCCTAAGCATAACTCTCATTAAATTCTTATCTGCTGCCTAGGAGCAGAGTCAGCATCTGCTCCTAGGCAGCTTAACTTAGCAGCCTTTTCAAAGCACCACTTCTCCATCCTCTAAGTCTGTTTCTACACACTCACACACACACACACACACACACACACACACACACACACAGACTCCCACACACACAAAGGAAATGTCAGAAAACAATCTAGAGAGTTAACTGCTAAAGCTTTTATCTTTCTCTTTTTCCAGTAAGACATGATCTCATACCTACACATTACAAATCATATTGTGATGGTCAGATCAAATTATAAATCCTACAGCAAGCTTAAGTATGGCTGGTTGCAGCTTACCCTGTAACCAGGCTTACTTAATGAAGAGCTAATATGCTAATTAGACCGAACAGCCAGAAGACCTTCCAGACGAAGCAGGGGCTGCGAGAGCTGGTCGCGCCCCTTGCATGAATTTCACGCATCGGCCTCTAGTAAGGAATCAACATGGAAGGTATCAGACATATTTTAGATGTTTCTCAAGGTCAACTGTCCATTGAAAAGCCATCTCTCACGGGTTCTGTGCTTCTCCCTTCTTCAAGTGACACTGGAGTCTGAATTTACAGAAACTGTTAGCACATAAGTAATAGAAAAGTGACTGCTTGCGTTTCATTTAACAGATACAAATTCAGGGAATATTGCCATTTGCAAGGCAAATTAAACATAAATTCTAGTCTTTTAAATACATGTGTGCTCTCATTTCTATATAGTCTCTATATTTTTAAAATACATAGATGTTTTCTTTCTGACACACTTGTTTACTGTGTCAGAGATCCAAAGTTTTTTGTCATCTAAGAGCGTACTTAGACTCTAGTGGGATGGAGGTAGTTATGAAAAGACAAAAGGCCATGATACAGAGCAGAACACACCTGCTGTGGCAAAGAGCTCCCAGAGATGAGAGAATGGGGAGAAAATGAAATCCTGTTGTAGAGATACGGATTCACAGAAGGTGCGTGTGAGTTGGGCCCTGAAAGAGGCAAAAGACTTCGATCACTGGGGATGGAATGGGAAGGAGACCAACACAGACAATGCACTCAGCAGAAACAAAGCAGCGAAAGAACCAAAGCCCAGGGGATGTTTGGAACAAGCCCTGCAGTACCACCTGCTAGAGAAACACACAAGAGCAATAACTGGCTGAAAGGCAAGGCTGGGTCTTCATAGAGAGTAATGACCTTGAATGAAAAGCTGAGGAGGCTGTATAGTTGAATATGTTTAATCTTGTGTGCTAACGTGAAGCACTGAAGGTTTTATGTTAACAACTGCATAATTAGGACATCTAATGTGGCAGGGCAGTATAGATTGGATC